CAATAATTTATATAAATTAATAAATAGGCTAAATTACTGTTTTCGTCCATAACTTGTCTGGTTATGAACCATAACTTGACAAGTTATAGTCCATAATTGTCCATAATTTATCTGACTATGAACATTAACTTGACAAATTTATCAATAACTTATCTGATTATAAACCATAACTTAATAAATTACGACCTATTAATTTTATAACTAAAAATTAACCTATATACTTTTTTTAACTTTTCTCTTATTTTCTATTATTTCCCATATTTTTATCAGCGTCTCTAACGGGCCCTTTGATTACCAAGAAGTTTGATGGCACTGACCTTGACCGAGAACTCAAGTGAATGACAAGTTTTTGTGACCACTAAGCGCTCCACTTTTGAACCATTCCTACGTGTCGGTTGAATGGATATGGACACGTGCCTCACAGAAGTGTGTGAAAGCTGTAATGCAGTGGTTTGATTGGTTGCACAAGTTGCCAATATGGACTAGTAAAGGATTATGTATACCCATATCACCAAATATTAAAGGCTTTTGGCCCTTGGAAAGTTTGATCTCGTGATGTTAGCAGACTAGGCGGCCATGATGGCCGGTAGAGAGGGAAAGACAACTGGTGCATCTTCAACTGCTCCACGCCTACCCTAAAACCTGCAAACTCTATTATGAAGTAGTCATCTGTGCCATGCAGGAAGCCCAATTCCCCTTTTTTTTTTTTTTTTTTTTTTTCTCGAAAAGAACAAAATCCTAGTTCCTAGTACCAATAATACTCGGTGGGATAGCTCACGGAGGCTAGGGAGTATTATCAAGTTGGGTCTAATCTATCCGTCTAATAAACTTTAAAAGGATTGTAACTTGTAACTCCATTAAAATAAATAGGGCTGCTCCCATTTTGATTAATTTGCAATGGGATTTGCCTATTGTTTTAAGAAGTAAAATTCTCTTAATGCTTGTGAAATAGACAACTCAAATTTTTTCAGTTTTAGAGTCCATTTAATTCGTTAATTCAAATTTTTAATTTGAATTGAAAAATAATTTTATGTGAAAGTTTTTTAAACTTAATTCGATAAACAGAGCTTTATACTCTCATTATAGGGCAATATTATTTATTCCGATGAAAATTTCTCCCAATCAATCTTGTTTAGGTCCCATTTAGTGGGACTCACGAGGATCCCACTAGTGTTTAATGGAAAGAAATTCCCGTTTGACTACTCATTTTTCTTCATGAGCATTTTTATTTCTCCTGAATATTCACAAATATTAAGTCCTGTTAAGTAAGTGAGATCCAATTTAATGAGACCCATAATTTTTATGAGTGAATATGATGGAGTTTCATTTTGGGATAGATACCGTTTTCGTAAGTCAATAGTCTGAAAAAATAGTAATGAATAATTTTTATGTTGAATTAAAAATTAAACTACTTAAATCCATCTAACTACTTAAGAGCAGGGCTAATGCCGCTAGACTGCTAACTTGATAATGTGGTGATACTTCTATCTTTAGATTGAAAATTCAGAGTAGCATTTAGCGTCCTATTTTACCGTTATGTTATTTTTTTAGGTGGCTTTAAACGCTATAAAGTATAAAGTATCTCAACATTTTTTTCAAATAGTTGTACTCCTTTGAAAAAGTAAGTACTTGCTAGGTTAGGCCGGCGAATCTATAAGCATTACTGCACAAGCATCAAGTCACCAAATTAAATTAGAGACCTATTTAATTCGTTAATTCGAGTTTTTAATTTGAGTTGAGATGTATTTTATGTGATAATTTTTTACCGTAATAAAAAAATTAAATATGACTTTTTTTAAAACTTTTTATTATAATAAAATTTGAATTCTAAACTCAAATTGATAAAATGAATGGAGCGTAGACAGAGAGCTTTTACTCGCTCATCTTGGTACTTGCTATCATGTATAGACAAGTTAGTCTAGGCTAGGAAATTAGGTAATTTCCTTATCTTCGTACATGGAAATAATTTAGCCAGAATATATAACCAAAGAACGCCAAATTAAGTAACTGTTTGCTTATGGTTGTATGCACACCAAACAATGACTATTCATCGACTCAACAAAAAAAAAAAAAAAATTATGCGTTTGTTTTATAAATTTGAATTACTGTTTAAATTATTTTGTCACAGTGTTTTTTTCTTATAAAATTTAAATTTATGTTTAAATCTTTAAACAAAACAAGACCACATGTTTTTTGAATATCCAATTATCCCTTGAATTTAATATCAGCATATGGAAGCTAAATTTATGCTATTCCAAGGAAATTTTTTCTTGTGGCAAGACTAATATCATAATTATCCACTTCTTATTAGCATTAGTAGTGGATGTCTTTATCGGCTTCCATAATGAAGATTACGGTCAATCAATAGAACCATATATTGGCAGGTTTTGGACATCTCTTGCTTGAGCATGACATTCACTTTTAACCTTCTCTTCTTTTAGCTGTTTCTCTGAAAGTGATCAGTTGTGGGAGCCAACCACACTCAGTTGTCTTTGAGCTATTGTGGCTGTTCGATCTTAATCGGACGGTCAGAAGGGTGCCCTTTAGTACAGTAACCTAGTCATTGACAGATCAAGATGGTCTGTATCCAGGCGTGCTTTTTATACTGCATATTTCTACAGTTCTGCGAGCAGTTTCTGTTTTGATCACCATCGGAGAGGACAAATTTAATGTTGTCTTTTTTGTTTTTTGTTTTGTTTGTTTGTTTGTTTTGGGACCCCAAAGGTGTTGTCAATTAAAAACCAGCCTTTCATTATTTATTTATTTATTTTGATAATATCCTTAGTCCTTACGTTCTTCTAGTCTTTGGTCTCTAGTCTACTCTTATTTATCTGTTGCCCATTTATATTTTTAAGATTATGATTTTCATTAGGTCCTTTTCAATCAATATTTAATCAATTGATACAAAATAAAAATTTAGCTGTTTCCAGTTTTCACAATATTTACTTGTTATATTTGGTTTGTTTTTCCTTTTTTTTTTCTTTTTTATAAAAAATCTTTTAAGTCTGCTCCCAATCTTTTTTTTTTTTTTTTTTAAAGGTAGGCACATGATTTTTTGAGCGATATTTAATGATGATATTATCTGGCAAATGGCGGCTTCCGTAAATAATTAAAAACAGAACAAAATATTTTTTTCGTTTCCTATGTTTTGAGAGTACATAACTAGTGAATAATGTTTTTGCTTGGTTAGTTGGTTGAATGAAATCGTTTCTAATCTAAAACTGGAATATGAAATTTGTTGGTTTGTGGCTTGTGGAATTTCTTATTCTCGTTTTTATTAATCACCATAAAGCTTAAAATACTATTATTTTTTACAATGCAATTTTCCCCTTAAAAAAAAAAAAAACTAAACGAGAAAAATATTCTTTACGGAAAACAATAAAAAGAGAAAATCCACTGTCAAAGTGTTGCACTTGTATTTCCCATAAACCATTCGTCCAAAACTTGGTTTTAAATCAAACTTTTGAAAAACTTGACAGGTTTCATATCATATAACCAAATTTGATAGAAATATCCATATAACTAGTTAGAATTTGCGACTTTTGAGATTTTTTTTTTCTTTTTCGAGAAACTGAAAACCACATATTATATAACAAGTAATACGGACCTTTTCAATTAAATAATATAAACTAAAACCCTAATTTTCTTCTTTTTTTTTTCAGCAAAAACTAAAATATAAAGTCAAAAATAACAGCAAAATACAATCTATGATATTACACTTTCGTCGCACCCTTTTTCCTCAAGGCTCAAGGATTTGCTACCTTGTCCAATTTGATTACGCTATTTTGTGGACCTATGTGGTTCCACCTCTAATTGTCTTCATTTGATGAAAAGATGATCATTAATGACATTAAACGTTTGCTACTTTATCGTCAACTCTTCACCTATTTCTGAAAAATAAAAAGTTAATTAAGTCCATTTACTTGAAAATTTCGCAACACCACCTTGCATATCTGATGTTTATCTGACCATGATAGGATAAAATGTGGGCCCCTGCCCAATAATTAATATTTTTTTTACTATATATCCAATCTTTACAAAAATAATAACGAAAAAAACCTAATAATTTAGTATGCAATAAGAGTTTAGTATACTTTTGCCAACTTTAATTTTTTACAGAAACACAGAAAATCTACGGACAGATCAACTGTTACAACTTTAAAGTTTAAAGTTAACCATTAAAAAACAGATATAAGTGGCTTCATTTAGCACCGAAAAGCTAGCGATTAATTTTCTAATAAACTTGTGTTTTGATTTCCCACTTATCATCTCCGCACATATATTTCAAGATTTTAATTGTGCTTTTGGCTACCAAAAACTTTTCTGTAGACTGCTTTAAGTATTCATATTTGAATAAAATGAATTAAAAAAGAAAAGGTCACAAAATATTGTTACGTGTGATGGGCCACCTTAAAACTCCGAAAGTGATGTGCACTCAATCATTCCTAAACCAACATTACTCCGAAAGTGGCTCTACCGGCTATTGTTTAATCTTAATCCTTGCTAAACCCTAAAGTCAAGAGCGTAAGATTAAGAACCAAAAAAGCTGCTTATGCAGCTTAACAGAAGCCACAAAATACAGTTATAAGAGTTAAAAAAATAATAATTAATTAAGGAGCGGGGTCAACTAATGCTGGCTTGACCATTTGACCACTTCCCAGACCGATGCCTCGTCTTCAGCTAGCCGCGTGTCCACTGTCCCCTCGTCTTCCTCACTCCTCGCGATACGCGCACGCCAAAATAAAAATTAAAAAAAAAAAAAAAAGTTAACGTTCATATCATTCCAACCAATCACGACGTGCCACGTCTTCTGAGATCCTGATATAATCCCCCGAGTACTAATCTACCCTCGAAAGATCTTCCGAATTGACCATAAAGCCCTCAAATAGCCACGTGGCATATAAACAAAGATCATAGTCAGACGTGCAGTAGAAGAGCCCACACCGCCCACTTCTCCCCTCCCCCAAACTTCGTCTATATAAGCCCGCTCGGTTCTCTACACCTTCCACCAATTCCTCACAACTCTCTTTCCTTTTTTCTGTATTTTCTCTCCAACCAAACAGACTCTCTCGTTCTCTTTCTTTCGCTTGTCAAGAACTGGCTAACCCTCAGGAAACTCTGGAGGAAACTGATTTCGTCAACCAGAGGGTGGTCCGCGCCCTGTATGAGGCCCTAAACTCCCGCGACGTCGAGAAGGTTCAGCGCCTGCTCTCGCCCGACCTCGACTGGTGGTTCCACGGCCCACCGCCTCACCAGTTCTTGATGCGATTGCTCACCGGCGCTAATCCCGACGACAGCTCCTCCTCCTTCCGATTCGACCCCCAATCCTTCGCCTCCTTCGGCCCCACCGTCATCGTCGAGGGTTGCGACTACGACCGTTCGATCGCCTGGGTTCACGCCTGGACCGTCACGGATGGGATAATCACCCAGGTCAGGGAGTACTTCAACACTTCCCTCACCGTCACCCGCCTCGGAAGCTCTGCCAAATCCTCGCCGTCCGGATTCGCCTCCTCCTCCAACTCCTCTTCATCGACGGCTGAGATCGCGTCGTACCACTGCCCCTCCGTTTGGGAGAGTAGCCTCTCCAACCGGGTCGGGAAGTCAGTGCCGGGTCTTGTCCTGGCGATTTGATCCGAATTTGGTTAATCTCAATCTGTGATCCGGTGCCCCCGAGAGTAGTATAATATAGTGGGCTAAATAAAGAGGGCTCTGACGTGGCCGCTACTTATTGGTTGCCGACGTGTAAAGTCACAGAAATGTAGATTCTGAGTCGTCCAGGTCGTGTTTGGCTTGGCCTTGTTGTCGTTTTCGTTTCCTTCTGCTTTCGCGTTTGGTTTTAATTGTGTGTGTGCTGGTGTCGGGTGGAACCATGGGGGTGATCTTGACCAAACCCTATTGGTCATATCCTGAAGCGTCTGTCATATTATGGTGCTCTGGTGTTACATCATCAATATTAAAATTGCGTTCTTGTGATAAATATTGTTGCTCTTTTTCAATCGCTATTTTAAGTTATGCGTTGGTGATGATCATGATGATAGATTTAACGGTGGCTGATGAAATTGACGCAGCTAGCCATGAGAAATACCCACTTACGAATGATGATAGAATTATCGGTGGCTGATGAAATTGACGCAGCTAGCCATGAGAAATGCCCCACTTACGATTATGAGATTGGAAAAAAGTTTTTTTTTTTTTTTTTTTAAAGGAAAAAAAAATTTTTTTTTTTTTTTTTTTTCTAAGGAAAAAGAGGGCCTATTTTTTTGCTTTGAAAAGCCTATAATACTTTTTCGCGACTCTCACGATCAAATCTTATTCAACTCTTACTGAGAGACTTTCTAGTACAATAGACAGAAATTTTATCAAGAATTGGATAACTTCTTTAATGATGAATATCACATGTCAAATGTGTCATTCACTTATATGCTTCCTCTTTATTTATTAACCTTGTTTGAAAGGGATTACTAATTTGATTCAACTTATCAAAACGACAATAATAAGAAGAAAAAAAAAAAAGTATGGTGACGAAAAAATTGCACGTTGATAAGTTGAAATATATCCAAATGGGTCATATATGTACATGCTTGTGTTTGCGCTAATGAAAAGAAGGGTATAAACAATTGGTTAAATTGATACAAAATTTTCCTGAAAATATATAAATCTCGATGCCACTTGGAAAGAGAAATTTGATATTAACGTTAACTAATGTGGTCGCAGACTATTAATGCAAAACCTAAACAATGTCCACATTCATACGACCACGTATGTGGTCATATTCGTATATTTGTTTTCTCATGTAATTAATATTAAAAAAATTAAAAGAATTGAAAAGAAGTTTCCCGACTGTTGAATTGTGTCTATCAACGATTATTGTGTTCTTAATAGCAATTTGTCCTGATTATTTTATTGTGGGACCTCTTAGTGGCAGTTGCCGGAATGACACCGATCCAGGTCGCATCCGGACGGGTTCTTTTGACATTAACCCCACCCCCCCAAAAAAAAAAAAGATTGCGATTAGTTAATGCCACGTGTACGGTTGATATGATCTTCCAGCTTATCATGTGTGATTGTACACTGTACAGATAGTAAGGTCCACATACGAGTATAATGAAGAGAAAAAGGACAATAAACTCTTAAACAAGGTCGTCTGAACGTCTGATCAATCGCAGGTCCATACGTCACCGTTTTGTCTTCAAATTATAAATAAATACTTAAGAAAAGAGATTCTTCACGTGTATAGTGTGATTGACGACTGTGGCTTTTAGCTATAGCTGCACCTGCACTGACTGGCCCACAAGAACAGACATTGAACTCAGCTCACCGTCAGATTAGAGATCTGATCTTGTACCCTTTTTTTTTATTTAAATGTTGTTGTCTTGTGGAAGTAAGTGTTCCAACCCTAAGTTGACGAGATTAGTATTAGTGGGAACTGATTTAAACTCCAACAATCAAGTTAAACGAATATCATATTCTTAGAGGTTACCCTAAAATGAAAAGGAAAAAAATGGTTAACTTAACATTAGAAACTAATTAATTAACTCCGTTCAAGAATATAAATAGAATGACTAAAAATAACATTAACCGTACGCGCACGTAAGATATAAAAGTGAAAATTTTATTATGTTCTTTTATTTAACGTGATACTGAGTTAAGAAGGTGTAATACAAAAAAAATTTAGTTATTCTAAACTTATACCATAAATATCATCTTACGCTTTTTACTTTTATATGTTACATGAAAATACACTTGATCCAAAAACAATATAACATGGCATATATGCATATTATATTCTTTATCATCTATCACTATGAGGTACAAGGCCAACTGGCCAAGAATGAAATGATATCCGAATTGCTGAGACTAACCAATGTTCAACCATGGAATTGAAAACAAATACAACAAATAATGCTAACCGTCCTTAGCATTGGAATGTTAATCCAAGTACCGGTGAAAAACAAAATGTTCCTCAATAATAATAATAATAATAATAATAATAATAATAATAATAATAATAAAAGATTAAAGTCTAAAAGGTATGATCCTCATCGGAGAAATTTGTCACTCTATGCATCAAAAGTATTTTAATAGCTAGCCAGACCTCTTACAAAGTATAATAGAATTACGAATGAAGATGTTTCTTATTAATATTTTAATTGACTAAATCTAGAATTGAACGCTCTTC